ATTTGACAGGACCTCAAGTGTCTTCACCTGCTCATTTTGGGTGAGATATACTTTCACAGAAGAAATCAGATAATGTTTCCTGGAGACTCAAGTAGTTCTTTGTACTTGCCTGAGTTTTTCTCTTGAGTTGCACTTGAATAATGACTCTTCCCTTTTCACTTGCTCTCTCAGAGAAGAGAGGGGTTTTGCATAGCATAGACTTTTTGCAGTGCTTGTGAAGAATTTTTCTCTCTTCAGAAGATAATTGTTTTCTACTCTCTTGCTCACATGGGGCTTCTTTTTCACCTGAGAATTAGCCGGTTGCAAAGATACCTTGGTTGCACCACCTTCCCTTACCTAGGGAGGAACAAAGCTTCATTACTCTCCTTTTAGACACAAAGAAACCCGAGTTCTGGCTGAGCATTTTGGCGTTTGGTTGTGGTTCTTCCTGCTGCCGTTTGGGATGGCAGCGCCTAGAGAGTGCCCGTGCTGAGGTAGTTTAGGGGATTGTGCCCCTCCGGTGCAGGAGATCCAAGTAGTTCCCAAGCCTGTTTTCTCACGTCTCCTGTATTTCCTAAATATGCTGTTTGTGTACCCTCTTGCTGAGATTTTGGTGTGCCCCTAGCAAGTGGGCTTCACTTGCTAACAACTTTTTGTCTTATTCTGTCTTCTTGTGGTGTGCGTGTTCTCTTACGGCCTACTTTCCTGAGAGTGAAATTTAGGGGCTGCTCCGGGCCGAGGGCACTAAGAGAAACAGGAGGTTGACCCCGCGCTAATAACAAATACACACAGCAATTCTTTCTCCGTACTGTGTGTGTCACCCTTAAGGAGATTTACAGGGAGGTGTGACCGTGATGAGAAACATCAACATCTCACTTTGCTGTCTGAGCCTGCCAGTCACTTGTGGTAAGGTGGGTGAAAGATGCCATGAGCTTCCTCACAGTTGGCAGAGACTCTCTGGGTAGGCAAAAATAATGGCAGCTTTCATTTTATTCTCCACAGAGGAGCTAATTCCTTATGTCCAGTCCTGGACTGTATTTTTGTGTTGGTTTCTCCAGGGATGCACCAGGGCTTCCTACTTGGCAAAGGAGTATAAACTACAAACCTAATGATCTGAGAGACAATTTACACATATTAATTTGTTCATTAGGCTTTGTACCTAATTTTACAGATTTCCAACACAAAAATGTTGCAGACAACCACAGAACATGATCCAAAAAAAAAATTAATTGAAAATGGAAACAGAAAAATAGAAAGTTTAGTAACTTTGTGGTTACACCAGCATTTCTGCTACAATCATTTCAGTTATGCTTAGACCTACTTTGTAGGTCTGTAAGCCACTGTTGCTTGAGACAGAAGATACTAGCTACTCCCCCATAGTTTCTGAAAATTGCCAGTAGTTTCTCAGGATTTTTTTTTAATATAAATAAAGCTGGAATAATACTTTTGGATGAATTTTATGTGCTGTAGCAAGGAGAGAGAGCACTGGATTTTGGCTAATGCCAGTTCTATCTTTGCAAAGTTGTTAAGGTTCCAGGAATGATGAAGATGAGTTATTTATAATTTGTCAGGCAGGTTGCAGCGGTGTTTAGTATAAAACTTACTTTTTTTTGCTGGAGTAAACATCAGTTTGTGTAATCATTTCCAAGTAGTTCCATAGATGCTGTCCAGTTTTTGCAGTACTTCCATAAAAACTGCTGTTTCCATTGGCTGTTAATCCTGGGCCAAAGTGGGAATCCACATCAAACCCATGGGTTTAGGATACAGAAAGATTATTTTGAACCTGCTGTGTATATAGTCTGGTGGACAAGATACACTGGGGATCTTGCACCATTTTCTCCATGGAATGTTACCACGGTAGGTGCTCAGCAGATCTCGGACCTTGTTCTTGGTGCAGGTGCCACTAGCTGTCACCGCGTGTGGAGGGGGGATGGCAGCGACTCAGGTAGCAAAACGTGAGGGCCCCGAGCGGCACCTGGCTGCTTTGCCCTCACAAAGTGCAGCTATATCTCGTAATGCCCTTTTAAACGACGTGCTTGGGAAGTGCTGTGCCTGCCCGGTTTACCTCGGAGGGGAACCTGCGGAGCTCTGAATAAACAGCAGTAATTGAGAACTGGGCTGAAGCATTTTCTTGGGTAATTGTCTGCTTCTCTCAAAAATATCTGATTCACAGGAAGATTTTCCTAAGGTTATTGTGCAGCTACCTGATGAGTGAGCGCTGTCTCTCAAGTTAGTCGAGAAGACCCTTCTTTTAGCTCCCCTCCTTCCCCGAGGGAGAGAACCGCACCTGTGATGATTCAGGCTGGTTCATGCTAAAACTGCAGCTCCTTCCAGCTGCTAAAATTCACCTCCAATCTGCCCTGCTGCTGCCAGCTCCCCTTTGCAAAGCTGCTTGCCTGACTTGCTGGCCTCTTCACGGATCCCACGGAGCAGCCAGCGGTTCCATGCTGCTGTGCAGACAGGTGCTGTCCTGCCCCTGTGATTCCCACTGCTTGCTAGGTCCTTTGCTGAGTAGTGCCTTTTTCTCCATATTGACCTTATTTTAAAGAATGGGGAGGGATGTGTGAGGAGGGTGGTTAGGTTATAAAAAGGGGTGTTAAGCCCTGGTTTGTTCCTGGATCCTTGCAATATCTGACAAATAGGAAATAAATGTGTTTGTGTGTATGTGTCTGTTTAAAAATGCTAGAGCTAAGACAACTTTATTTTAGGAGATGTTTGTAAAAGCAAAAATTTGGGGCATGTGTGTTTTCTGATTTACACAAGTATTTAAGGAGCCGCTATTGAAAAGTGACACAGCATTTCAGGCTGGTGATCCAGGACACTTGGTCAAGTGATTTTAGAATAACATAAAGTCTGGAAAGAAATTTAAAAAAGCAATTAAAAAATCTAGAAATGTTTGACTTGCACATCGTAGAGCCTCACCAGGCGTTCTCATTCTCTTCCCATTTCTCTTGTATTAATTCATAAGGGGTTTATGCAACTCTGACAAAGCAGTTTACATATTTAATATGGCATGGCAGAGTTTCCCCACGCTACTTCTGTGTTTCATTGTGAGATTTATTCCTTCTAGATGCTGAGCATTGCCCTTTCAACGTATGTTGTGAGCAGTACGCATAGCAGCCTGCAGAACAAACAGGGACTGCCGGAATTCAACCAAATCATCAGCTGGACAACTCTAGGTAAGATCCCCACCTCTCCCAAACCTGTGTGCTGAGAGTTGGGTTTGCGTTTGGGGTCTTATGTCTTTTCTGGGGGAATGGAGATGGGGATAGACCTTGTATTAACATCTCACTCCCTCTTGTACTTTTTACTTTTTTTTATTCCTGTTTTTTCAATGTACTCACCATCCTTCTTTTCCAAGGTAGTTTTTTGTTTATGAATATAATAGTCATCTAAAATATTACTCCTTTGTAAGTTTATAGTAAAAAGTGAACAACTTGATTTACAAATAGCCTTATCTTTTGTTTTGAATATTGTGAGTATCTCAAAGATCCCTTTGAGATGTATGGGATAAGGTGGTACAAACTTGATTTTTGCTTCATTTGAATCCAGAGAAGGGCAGTCTGGGATGTTACTCAAGCAAACCAGTTAAACACAAGGAAGTGAGGAAAATTATTCCTACTTTTCAATAAAGACTGAAGCCACAGTTGATGGCAGAGACTCTTTGCTGTATTGACATGCTGTTCAGAGCTGTGGTACAAAATATTTCTGATCTAGTATTAATGCAAAGTTATGGATTTGTAACCCTTCAAATTAAAACCTTACGATAGTTAAACAGAGCAGGTATAATTATGAGACAATGGAGCACAGTAAAAGAAAACTTTTGGTATTTCATCTATAAAATAATTCTCTAGGGCTCTATTAGAAAATGTTGCACATTATCTATCCATGATTAATTTTGGAATGTGAGATATTTAGACCTAAACATATCCCATTGATGATTTCATAGCATCTCTTCGCTAAAATTCAAAGCCGGGATATTTAAACTTTTTTTTTTTTAGTGGCAGACCTATGACTCTTGTTATATAGCTGCTGGAGGCCTTATATATTGTATACATTCCTGAAGCAATGGCGTCGCTTTAATTTAAGCAGCGCTTGCTAGTTTTAGCAGTCTTGCTTTCGACTGAGGAAATGAGTTGAAGATTAATGTGAGTGAATGTGATCGGCGTGCGCACAAGGAGGGCTAGCTCTCCGATTTCATTTTCTCTGGGGTATTTTATAGCACCACTATCCTTTCCTGCCTCTTTATAGCCTGCTAAGCTGAGCGGTGATCCCTGTGTGGATGAATTCTTTGCAGTTGAAAAGCCACTGAAGTCAATGATGTCCTGCTTGGCTTACTGTAATAGGGATTGAGGGTAAAGATTAGTTTTCCCTTCTGTGTAGGGGTCAGAGAGAAATATTTTTCAACCAAGAAATGACTTGGGCAGTCAGAGTAATCTAGAGTTGAGGAAAGAGTACATGAGAAATTCTCTTTGCTGTGGGTGATGCTTCTATTGAAATTGAATATTTAAAAAAATCCTTCAGACTAGAAGCAATCATTTGTATTAGATATAGGGGAGTTTTATTTGTTGTTTATTTGTTCAATTTGTTGAAGCTGCAGCGCAAGGCAGGTAGAAACTTCGGCATCTAACAGGATGTCCTTGATACTCCCATTGCAAAGATAACCCTTGTCACTGGTCTAGCCGTAAATCAGCACCTACCACAAACATGACATGATAGCAGGGCCTGAATGAAACTTTCTCAAGCTTATCACCATTACATGTGGGTGAAATTTCTCTTTACCTGTTTCTGGAAGAGAGTTTTGTCAGAATAGCACTGTTACTGTCTGAACTCACATTTTGTACCTCAGTACATTTATATATTTAAGATATTACAAACATAGTTATTCAGTACTTATTCAAGGTAATGATAAACTAGAATTAACACTCCTGGTGTTTTAGCAACTTGTTTCAGCTATTCATTCTGACAAATATGAAGTCCACCTTGTGTAAAGTTTTAATTTAAGTCTAAAACAGCTTTTTAAAGAAAGTGTGCTCTTTGGAGAACCAGGCAAGTGAGTTGGTCTTTGTTTCTCTAAGGCCTGTGGAGAGAGCTGGCCTTAGCTGTGGCGCTATATGGTTGCTGCCGTACAACCTAACAGAAAACAGATAGAGACAAACCCAGTGTGATTCCGGCTGTTTTCCCTGTTCTTCAGAAGCTTCTTTTTTATGTTAGCAGATATTTTAAAATATCTATACCTTATATTTCAACCAGACTTTTTCATCAGCTGAAATCTATCTTTGCCGTGTGACAAGTTTTGTTATAACCATGGGCAGGGGTCATGAAGAGAGGTTTGCATAGGTCTGCCAGAAACATGGAGATCTTTTGATGTTTAATATCTGATGTGGTGCCTCAGAGGTGGAGGGACAGTTATAACCTGCTTGGCCACTTGTCTGGCCTCTCCTACGACTGTGCACAGGCTTTAGAAGGCAATAGGTGCTTGATGTGTTCAGTGTCACTCGCAGAGGCCACTTGCTGCACTGAATTTCTTCCTACCAGTTCGGACTTGTGGTGAACATCCTTGGTGCCCCTCTTGAGCAGGGCCTTCTTTAAGCACAGAGTGACACCAGCGATGCCGAGGGGTTGAAGCACCCTTGAGCTAAAGTCACTCACTCAATTATTCTAACAGGGGTGACGCTGGAAGCCAGAGAGTAAAACATGCTGACCCACAAGTTTTAGAAGCTCACAGCTATTTCATGAATGTATTAACCAAAAGTACTGCTACAAACCTATATTATGTCAAAAAAAAGAACCACAACTGAACAACGCACTTCCTGTGTATTTTAGTTTTATTACTGAATCAGTAATATCAGCTAATTACGATTTACTGTTGCTGCAGACTGAGTGATTCAGTAATGCATGGGGGATCATAGTACGTTGAAGCATCACACTTATTTGTCAACTCACTATATAAAGAGATCAAATAAAATTGTTGTATAAAAATTCCATGGCTCTGAAAGCCATGGTAAGTGTTTCTCAGGCTCATGTTAAACTGTCAAGTTTAACTGTTTTTGTGGAGTACGGCTGTCTGAATTATTTGAAGGGCATAGTAGTTCCTGAGAAATTATAATGCCAGTGGGCTAGGTAGCCAGGGAATTAATATGATAGAGAAGTTGTTACTTTTTTTTTTTTTCTCCAAAGTTACTTTTGAGAAATACTAGACTTTCTGAACACTTAGATTTCTTTAGGAAAAGTAACTTCTCAAAATAGGGGCATATATGACCAGATTTGAATTTTTATATATAAAATATTAAGCTTTGAAGAATGTTGCATTGTTACTGAGGGTGAAATGTTTTGCATGCAGTGACTGAGGAGTCTCTTTTCATTGCAGTTTCTTCCTCAGTGTTGCCTTTCCTGAGCCCCACGTTGCTCTTTCAGCGACTCTTCAGCATTCTGCTCTCTCTGATGTCCGTCTACCTGCTCCTCAGCACCGGGTACTTTTTTGTTACTCTGTTTGTGTTGATGCTAAATATGAAAATCAGGGGCTAAATGTGAAATTGTCTGCTGAATCTCATAAATATTTCTATTAAAGATGTAAAGCTTGCTTCAATTGAAGTCTCAGCATTTATCTGGTTATTTAGCTTACTAAATAAAATTTCAGGAGAACTTCCAAGGTTATGTCTGTATTATAAGCACTCTATTTTGTTGACATTCTTTTCAGCTGCATCAGGCAGTGGTTGGAAGGATATGTATTCAAGCAGCCTTGTACCAAAATAATGAAATCTGTTTTAATTTATATCTTTTGTTGTTTTGGTACATGTTTTTCTGCTCACAAACAAAAAGAAATAACTCCTGTCTCTCAGCTGCTCAATATTTGCATCTAACTGTGGTTTAAATGGCATCCTCAGGAAACAGCCCTAAAATGAGGGTCAGTTTTCTTCAAGGAGATATTTTGATGGAAGTTGAGGGGTTTTTGTGTGTTTGTGTGGGGTTTTTTTGGTCTTTTGTTTTTTTTTGGTCTTTTGTTTTTCCAAAGAGATTGTAGACCTGCGTAAAGAACAAGACTTGCTGCCTTTCAGATAAAAGGCAAATCCCCACGGTTAGAGACTGAAGAAAACAGTGTCAGCCAATCCCATGCTTTATTTTCAAAACTCAGTAGGTCTTCAGAGCATAATTAATAGAGAGTATAGGAACCATTCCTTCCCCCTCACCTCCCACTTATCCTTTGGATTTAATTATACTGGAAAATTAAGTGGAATAAAATATATTGCAGCAGACACTTTGCAATAGCTGCCTCTTGAGGATGTATTCATTTCACATGAAGCATTTTTTGACTCTCTCTTTTTAATTTTTTTTCCTTCCCATCTGTCTTCCCCTTCCTCCCACTTCTCATTAAGGTTTTGACTCTAATTTTACTCCTGTCCACCCAAACACTCTTACATTCAGCCTTCTTGGTCTGTCCTGGCTACTGGACAGTGCGAATGTTGCTGTCTCTGAGACTGATAATCTCCCTGTCTGTACTGTGAACACGCACCAAACCACTCGAATGCTGCCAGCTCCCTCCTGTTATCCTGCAGCATGTTCAGAAAAAAATAACAGACAAGTTATCCCACAACATTAAAATCTTGTTAGTTTTCGCTAGGCGCTCTAGGTGAAACGAGTGACTTTGATAGCAGAGCTGTCTTAATGAGAGCGTAACTTGGCACAGTTTTTGAGATGCATGAAAGTGTGTAGTGAAGGAAAAGACTGTTTGATGAAATGTGATGCTCATTTTACTATGTGGAATGCCTCTCTCTGGGAGCTGGATTGAGGTCCCCAGAATAAGTTTGTGATTGGACCCTGAAGAAGGACACTTGCTAGTTGTCTTGTTGACCTGAACTGCACCTCCTGTTCTCAATTTCAAGCAGTTCTGACTACAGAATTTTCTGTTTTGCAGAAAATGGTGATTTTTTTTTCTTTATCTGGTTCCTTTTTGTTTGGTCTGATTTTGTTAAAATTAATCATCACACCAAAGGACACCAATGTGATGTTGTGGATATCGTGAAATCATGTTTCCAATAAGACAGTGTGAATGTTCAGGATCCAAAGTATGAACTGACCAAAGCTGAAGCAGCCTCTGTCTCTCCTACATCTACCATTTAATCATTGTGTGTCTTTAAACTCCACCAGTAAAATGTGGATATACTCAGAAATGGGTAGAGAAGGGAGGACGATGCTGTTTGGTCTTTGGTATGTCACATAAGTAAGAAAGAAAAAATGTATTTGACGTTAAAAGTTTTTTGGTGACTGCAAGTACAGTGATTAACTATGTCATTGTTCAGATATGAAGCTCTCTTTCCACTGGTGTTGTCCGGTTTGATGTTTGCGTGGATAAGCATGGAGCAAGAAGCATTGCAGCACTACAGTCTTTCACTCAAACCAAAGGTAACAACTGCAGATAATTAACCTGATATAAATATAACTATCAGCTTTATTGTCTTTTCGTTGAGGTACAATAAATAACCTCAGTGGTTTTCGTAGCACAACACTTTGCAGTTCCTTCTTTTGAGTTTGGAAAGACAGTATCAGATCTATTATAAAATGGGAATGTGACCTTGTAAAAGAGATTTATATGAGATTTTATTGAAGATGTTTCTCATCAGAGCCATTCCTGAGAAAGCAGGAAAGCGGTTTGACTTAGTGGTGTATCCTATAGGCTACAAAGCTCTTTGAGTGTCATGCTATTTTAGAATAAGTTATAACAGCCCTGTTTAAGTACGATATTGCTATTACTTTCTGTTCTTCTGATAGAAGAGTCCCAAATGTGCTTGTGAGAGGCTGAAATGACCCATAGGAAACCAGAAATCTCGTTTGACTTAGTCCTGCCACTTTCTCTCTTCAAGGAGAGTGTTTTATTTCTGTTTAGACAGCCACATAGCCAGAGACTGAACTGGAAGTAGTACCTCGGTGGATTTGCCTGGAGAGGGAGTTCTGTAACAGATATCAGTGCGAGTGGAGATGGAGATTGAACGTCTGTGTCAGCGCTGTTCAAAGCCCGTGCTGCTCCTGCTGCCACTGTGAGGCTAGGCCAGTGGTTTAACATGCTGTAGCTCGCACCTCTGAGCTGGTCAGCACCAGAGGGCTTGTTCCCTGGCTGAGCTGAGCCAGGCAGGGGCTGCTACCACGGTCTTTGCTGCTTTCCCAAATGTGCTGCTGTTGATGCAGAGCACAGAGAACCTGGATATGGATGCAGCGGAGCTGCCAGAGCCATTTGTCAGGGGGCTGCTGGTGCAGATCTTCCCTTCCTTTTGTAGCTCATTATAGTGCCGTGATCCAGGAAAAATGCCAGGTGGTGGAACTAGAGCAAAGACATTCACCAGAGCGGACCTGGTGGCAAATACTGTGTTTTTGTGTTAGACCTGCAAAAGAGGTGATATTAAAACATGAGAAAGAGCAGAATTTGCCAACTCAAGGTTGAGCATCATCAATGAAAGTAGTCACTGTTTTTTGTCTGCATTACAGATACTTAAGGGGCACGTGGGCATATTCTGAAGCATCTTAAATATCTGAA